TTCAGAGATTTCACAGAGGTAAGGGAGGGGCCCGCTCCATTTTCAAGTCTCCTCCTCGAATTGTCTAATTAACAGTCTCCCTTAATCAAATACATTACAAAAAAAACCCCAAAACAACACCAACAACGAACTCCTTCAAGGTTTCATTTGGATAGACAATAAAAACTAAAAGCTGAAGGTCAGAAAAAATTTCCAGGTTCCCATGAGAACAATATACACTATAGGTTCACTTGCCAGTTACTGAAGACATTGAAGATATTTTCATAACAGTATTAAAGTAATTGGGGCTATCAGTTCTGTTTGCCCAACAGACATCATTTGAGCGAATCTTGCAAAGAACACAAATGCAGCAGTGTCCTCCATCACAAAGATTCAGACAACTGCACAAGGAGACAAGAATACTTTTGTGTTAATACTGTGATGGTAGTTGATGTTATAGACATATTATGTATCTTGCTCTGTCCACTTAACACACAACACAGCTTCCCCTATGACTCAGCATGGGGCATCACACCCAGCAAGTCTGGGCTTGCATTCCAGCCCAGCCCCGGAAAACCCCGAGACCTTGGGCACCCGGTTATCACTCCTGCTGAGCCTCAATGCCTCACCTCTCAACTGGGATAAAAAGAAATCTACCTCATGGTGTTATTTCAAGAATTAAAAGACATAAAGTAGGTCAAGAACCAAACACATAGGAAGCAATCCGGAAATCTTAAATTTTCTTTTTCTGGCTCTTTCTGAGCTCTTCATTTTAAATAGCTATACAATTCGCTCACCAATGCCCTTATTACAGGGTATTTAGGGAGCTCACAATTGTTTGCTATTATGAATAATACTCTGATAAACACCTTTTGCACATATAGTTTTTTTCCAGTATTTTGGATTTCTTTGTGGAGGGGGAAAGAGCCTAGATTCCCAGAAGTGGAATTACCAAATCAAAAATTCATTAAGTCATTGCCAAGCTGTTTTCCAAAAGTTTAATGATTTACACAAACACCAGAAATAATGTAATAGTGGTTTTCATATGTTTACGTTTATATAGTACACACACATTTTTTGTGTGCATTTTCTTCCTGTACTTTGGCCATTTATCTTTCCTACCCTTTGAGGTTTGTCCATTTATCAATTTACATGAGCCATCCTCTATAATAAAAATACCTCTTGGTAATATCTGCTGTACATCTTCCCTAGGTACTATTATCCTTCTGTTTTTGGTCATTTTGAGACATATATACTGTATATATCCTATATAATAAAAGCCTAGTATGCAAACAGACCGAACAGTGTAACACTGGAACAACCAAACAACTGGTCGCTCTGATGTGTGCTGACCACCAGGGGGCGTGTATGGAACATGGTGGGTGTCAACCACGGTGGGATGGTGGAGCAGGTGAGCGGGGGGCACGAGACCAAGGCAGAGCACCAGTCGCTGTCATCAGGTGAGCCTCTGGTGGTTACTGAAAATTCTTTGCTCCTGTGCGCACCGCGATCCCGCCTGGCGCTCACGCCTGCTGCCAGTGCTGGCCTCGCCCACATCCGCAGCTGGTGCCGGTCCTGATCGCTCACCACCATCAGCAGGTGTGAGGGGTGGCTGCCAGCCCTGATCGCCTCCGAGGGCTTCCCCACCTCCCCCTGCTCCTGAGGGGCGATCGGGGCAGCAGCCACCACTTGCACTCACTGACGGCACCAGCACCAATCACACCCACTGCTGGTGCCGGCCCCAATAGCTCCGTGCCATCAATGGGTGGGAGTGGTGGCAGCAGGAGCAGGGCTGCTGGCAGACAGGAGGCTGGGGCTGTGACGGGGTGAGGAGGATGGATTGAGACCCACCCTTGTGCCTACCATAGCCTCACAGCCCACAGTTCCTTTCAAGGTGCAGGAATTTGTGCACTGGTCCCCTAGTATCTGTATATTTGACAATTTTATGTAATCAGAAAGGGAACTCTTCTAGTATATCTTAACATTTTTTCATTATAATTTTTTACACAATTTAATCTATTATTATAAATTATTAGAAAGTAACTTCCTCTTCAAATGTTTCATACATATAATTTCTATATTCTTGTAGATTAAAAATAAATGTCTGAATTTTGTTTGAAATCTGTGCAACAATTAATGGAAGAAACAAGACTAATTGCCAAGCACAGTCCCTGTCTGTGAAACCCTGTAGAATGTCAAGATATGTTACTTATTTAGGTGACAAAGTGACAGAAAATGCAAAATACAAGAACTGCCCAGGAGACCTTGAATAATTACCCACAATTATTGCAAATGTGTAACTGGCCTAAACCAGCTTATTGATGACATTACAAAGGTGTATATTCCCCAGAAAATGAGAAAACAGCAGAATACATCATTTAACATGTAATAGCCCCGCTTATTGAAGCTTCAGTCTTCAAAAAGGAGGGCAAAGAAATGAACAGGAAATACAGAGTGACTATGAGCCCCCGTAATAAAACGCAGCATGACGAGTGGGAACTTGGGCGGTTTTGCAGAGTATGCAGAGCTAGCTGTACAACGACCAGAAAGAGCTCAATTTGCTCATAGTCACTCTGCATACTCTGCTTTCAGGTCGACTACACAGATGCTTCAGGAACACTGAACAACATTCATAGTATCAACTGGTCACGAGATGATGTTTTTTGACATAATCCAGGAATCTGGCCCTGGTTGGTGTGGCTCAGTTGATTGGGCATCATCCTGTGCACCGAAAGGTCACCTGTTCGATTTCTGGTCAGGGCACATGCCCAGGTCTTGGGGTTGATCCCTTGTGGGGGCGTGTGGGAGGCAGCAAATCATGCTTTGCTCTTGCATCGATATTTCTCTCCCTCTCCCTTCCTCTCTCTTAAAAAAATCAATAAAATACATATATTTAAAAATAGTAATCTGTAATTCTGGGGTACAAGACTGGATCTCAGGTGAACTGGTGGGGCAAATTAGCTAGTGCCATGTAGGAGTCAGCTCAGCCTTGTTGAGTGCTGCTTGCCAACTACCAGCAGTGGCTCTTATTGTGAGTCTGCAGGGAGTCTCTTAACTGGTCCACTTCTCTTGACCAATTAGGGAACCAAGTGTAAGATTTGGCAGCATTTGAAAATCTGGGGACTTATAAGCTCTTAGGACAAATCCCTCAAGTGTCGAGCATTTCGTGAACTTAATGAGAATTTGTTCTGGATTCAAATATTAACACAAAACTCCTAGGAGACTTTAAGACAAATGTTTTTCTTTTCTTCTCAACTCACTTTCTGAAAATACGTTTATACTTTTTCTAGATGCAATTATTGAGGACACTCAATGCAGAAAACATTGTTTTTTCTTGCTTTACAAAAATTCTGAGAGCCTCTCATTCTGTTGAATTATGACATGCATCTCAAAAACTAAGTGATAGATTGTTAAAGTACAGGTGGTCAGAGCTCTTTTTCTAAAAAATGAAAGTGAATATATGAAACGATATTTAATCTCTAAATTTTAATTGTGGTCTAAGAAATATATCCTGTATCCTTAAAGATACTAAATATTATATTTTATAAGTAAACCAAATTATGCATAATGTTTCTCAAATAAACCAGTTATAATTTTGAAATTTTTTTAAACAAAAAATTTAACAAAATTTATTTTCGCTCTGGCTTCAAAATTTCCAGAAATTGGACACTCTGAACTATGGTCTTTTAAAAATATAAGCTGAGAGCTTTCATTTCCTGTGCAAAGATATTCTGGTATAGATTTTTATTTGAATTTCAACAGGTAATTAAAGGAAACCTAAATATTAAAAGTGAAGAAAAGCCATGTGCAAACACTTAAAAGTCTGATAATGAATTAGAAGACCACTTTAGAAAAAATAACCTTTCACTATTGAATTATCAAGTAAAGGGTTGCACTGGTTACCGACATACAAATGACACTAAAATAGTTCTTTTAATGAGGGCTGGAAAGAGGGGCAGAAAGGATGAAAACAGTTCCACATGGCCACCAGCTTCCTCCAGGCCACTTCTCTGGCAACAGGGAAGAGACAGCAGGACTCAGGCACAAAGGCAGAAAAAAACGACAAGAAAAATTTAAAAGGCAAAATGATCATATTAACAAAGGTAGAAGGGATAAAGGAAGGGAGGTGAGACTCAAGGAGCAATCAGTGGTTGTCCAAATAAGACAAAAATCTACTCCCAATCACTGTCCAGCAACTTTTAATTGCTTCTTAAAAGCTGAAAAAGTGCTCTCTTTAAAACAAATACCTGTTTTAATGCCATACAAGTGCTCAGAAATAGATCTTGCAGTTTAACCCTGAGAATTTTGAACTGTTTTCCCTGGAAGAAGCGTGCTGTGAATTCCATGCAAAGGGACACTTTTGAGACGCTGATTCAGGAAAGACGCACTAGACGTCAGTGATGGTATCTCAGCACCCCCTCTTTTCCCATCTCCTCTGCCCTACATCTCACCAGGATCACAGGGAAAGCAGCTCTGACCACAGATCACAGGGAAGAGGCTGCTGAACACTGGGGCACTGATTCCCTGGGCAGTCTAGAATGAACTCTGCCAGAATTTAGCCAGAAAACAAGCATCCTCTTACTTCAGAAATGCAAGCTAAATAGCCACATGTACCTGTGGTGCCCCCAACAGGCCGGGGCCGGGCTACCGATGGCATGTCCTCCGAGTAGATCCCTCGGGCAACAAACGGGGCTTCAGACGATGCCTGTGGCTGCTGGGGCTCGGGAGGCACCAGCTCCGAAGACTGCAGCACACCAGGGCCAAAACCGGGTCTGCAGGCAAAGCACACCAAGCATCAGGACCACACTGTACCCTGGCCCTGGTATTTGACCAGCTACACCCTCATCCCTACGGAAAAATAAGACCTATTTGTCTCCTGCCTTATTGCCCATCTCCTCTCCAGGGGGCAGAGACTTGTCCTCTGTGCTCACTGCCGGGGCTCCAGCCCTCAGATCACTGCCCAGAACAAGCAGATGCTTGAAAGGCATCTGTCAGATGATGGAAGGAGAGATGCTTCTGGTTTACAGATCAAGAGAAGGTGCAGCCACGTTCTAGAGCAGCCGTAGGCAAACTACGGCCCGCGGATCCGGCCCGTTTGAAGTGAATAAAACTAAAAAAAAAAAAAAGACCGTACCCTTTTATGTAATGATGTTTACTTTGAATTTATATTAGTTCACACAAACCCTCCATCCATGCTTTTGTTCCGGCCCTCCTGTCCAGTTTAAGAACCCATTGTGGCCCTCGAGTCAAAAAGTTTGCCCACCCCTGGCCTAGAGCCTGCTCAGCTCCAGCATCTGACTACACTGGTCATCTATTTGGGCTACACGTTAGCATAACCTGAGGGGCTTTTAAAGGCCCCCGTGCCCATGCGGTACCCTTGGCCAATTAAAACAGAATCTCTAGACAGGGGGCCCAGACACTGGTCTTAGCTTTTAAAGCGCCATTGATGATCATGAGGTTCATCAAGGCTGAAAAGCAGTGCTTGACAGCAATGGTTATTAAACTTACGTCCTCGGGATTCCTTTACACTCATAAAAAGTAGTGAGGGTTCCACTTTTATTTATGTGCACTACATCTATAGATATTTATTATATTTGGAATTAAAACAGAAAATTTTAAATACTTATATTTAGAATTCATTTAAAATATTAAACATATTACATGCTAACATTTTTCTTTAAATTAACAATATTTTCAAAACAATTTAGAGGAGTTTTACATCTTTTTCAAATTTCCTTAATAGAAGGCATATGGATTCTCATTCACTTTCTATTCAATCACTTGCCACAAATATGTAGTTGGAAAAGGGAGGGATATTTTAATAGCCTCTTCAGAAAATACTCAGAATAATATTTCAGCTGTTCTTCTTTGGTACCACATCAATACGCAAAAAGTTTCCTTAAGGGGTAGTGGCAAGGTGGCATCTGAATATCCGTGAACTCCTCACATTCTGTTACATGAAAACCCACTGGTCTGCCCTGGCCATTTTTTTTTAATTTTTATTTTTTAATTTTTTATTACAAAGGGTATTACATATGTGTCCATTTTTCCCCCCGCCCTAGACAGTCCCCTAGCCTCCCCTATCCCCCAGTGTCTTATGTCCATTGGTTATGCTTATATGCATGCATACAAGTCCTTTGGTTGATCT